ATTACATTGCATACCTATAATGTAGGTAGGTAATCAAATGGTGCAATAGACATTGTTCTTGAGGTCGTCAGAGTAAAATAGTTATTGTATTACAATTTTTTTATTTAACGAATTATTTTTTAAATCTTTGCTCTAGCTTAGCTTGGAGTTCGACATACGCTTTTTGGAACTAGTGTAGCCATTCATCAGGGCTCTAGCATGTTCAAGACCACTGGTTTGTAGTGTAATTACTTGTTAAGCATGTATGTTTTGCTTATAGAGAGCGAGCTTAGTCGGGTTATATGTAATCCCAAATAAACTAATAATTGTGTACAAGTAAATATTTACTTACAGTGGCAATGTGATGTTCCCTAATGTTTTACTCAACAATGGGGACATAATCAATTCAGCATTGGTAGAGTTGGGATACCTGACCAAAAGCATTGCAGTGTCAATGCCTGGGTTCAGTTCCGTTCTGTAATTACAAAAAAAGAAAGTGTGATCCAGTAGATAAATAAATAAATTAACTAAATAAATAATGCACACACTCATAGTGCACCAAGGACACAGACATAGACAACTATAAATTACATCCCAATTCACGAGATAAATAATCTAGGCCATACAAATATTTCTTCCGGCCCGGGAATTGAACTTGTGACTTCTACGTGGCTGACCAGCATGGTAACTGTTCGGTCACAGAGGCAATTGCTATATCTATCATTAGAGGGTTCCTAAAATAATGTCTAACCATATAACTTGAAAAAGTCCGTCTGAAGTTTAGAGTGAAATTTACATTAAAATAGCTTTCAAGTTTTGAAATTTAATAATTGTTCTGTTATACCTTTGAATATATAATTGCCCAATTTAAACATGTTTTAATGCATTGCAGTACCAAGTAAATTTGAAAAATGCTTCTGTCAATAGGTAAAGTCATTGTAGTGAGTCTGGATCCTGCTCTTGGATCAATGTAAATCAGCTTTAAAAATGAGCAAACCTTATTATTATTATACAATAAGATAACAACATTAGGTTTTTACCCATCACAGTAGAGTTCAGGAAGCCTAGAGGTGTCCACATTAAGTCTAATCAAGAATTCAACCACATGGCTGCCAACCCAGACCTCAATATCCTGCTCTGATGTGAGAGCATCTCCTAGCAGAGCACTGTACTCAAATGAAGCTCGAGAACTTTCATCTTCATTTAATTTCCTTATCTGTAAAAAATAAACTTATAAATTTTGAAGGTTTTGATAATAATCTTGATGGGCCAGGCAGCTGGGAAGCGGAAGATTGGAAGAAGGAAAATATCATGGTCTTGTAATGGCAATATGCATGCATGCATGGAACAACTATTCGGGCTAGCTCTAGACAAAGAAACACATAGAAAACTGACTGCCGACCTTCAATAATAGAGGGGCACTTGAAGAAGATAATAACCTTAACTCTGTTTAAAGTACCTATCATACTATTTCTACACTTAAGACAGATAATGGGATGTAACTTAGGTTGAAGTAACTAAACAAATCATTATAATGCAAATTAGAATAGTAGTTATTCTAATTTGCATTATGATTGATTTGAAAGACGTGAAAAGCAGTTACATCCACCACCAGTACATATTACGACTTTTTCTATGTGCTTGTTGCAGATGTTTGGTTTTTTTAATGACTTGTTTGCCATAGCGTCATCTGTGAGAAATCTATTTCTTCACTTAGCCAGTTACCATTACAACTACCAGCAGCTGACTAGAGATGTAGCTTTAATAATTTTAATTAAGTTTAATTAAATTTTAAAGCCAGGAATTTTTGAAGAGTATGATATTTGTATTAATTATATTAAAACTTTATAATGTTTAAATAAATGTAACTTGTTCTATCTGGAATTTTAAGTTCATGTAGAACAATCAACATTTATGGGTTTTAAATAAATGAATGTCCAAATAATCTAAACAATCACAAATTCATATAATTTTTGATTTCTCAATGGATCTGGTTAACAATTTATTGGTTCACATCCCTAGTTCTTTAGCGGTGATAGTTATCAAAATGGGCCTGTTAGATAGTGATCACAAGTAAGTAACTCAATAGGAGCATTTGCCTGTAAATACACGGGTTGTTAGCGCATGACATGCTCATTTTATAACAACCTGGATGCTTATGTGCAAAAACAGTATATTTACTACTGCAGTGATATTGTGAAATTAAACCAAATGATTAGACCACTACATTTAAACTGAATTTTGATCTAATATATGCAAAACAGGTTGGCAATCACATGATGTTATAAACAAAGCAACAGGCAATGTAACCTTTAAGTTTATTACTACACATTTAAAAATGGTTTGAAGTTACATAAATTAAAATTACCTGATGGCTTTTATAAAGACTAACCAACTCAGATACAACCTCGCTTAAAGCTCTAGGGTCATTCTCATTCCATTTGGACAGGCTCGGCAATTTCAATTCCAAGAAATCTTCATCAATGCTGTTTAGGAAGCTGTCGTCATCAAATCTGAAATCTGGAGCGAACCATGGTGCCGAAGAGTCGAATATAACCTCCCATTTCAGCTTTTTCGAACAATAAGGTAGAACTATTCGAAATTGACTCTCAATCCCATCTGAAGAACCGGGGATTCTTTCTATGTCAACTTTGCCTTTGCAGAGACCTGAAATATAATTTATATAATAATAGATTGCTAACAGAATAATGCGAAAATTCGTACATTTCTGGAGTTTTATTTACCCAGTTTTAATTCCTGGTAAACATTTTGAACATAGGGTCGGAAAACTGGTGCTATACTATTGACGATACCAAAGTGCTCCGTGGACATTTTAGCATTTATTTATTTGGTCAATTGCGTTAATGGCAATAAAAAGGTTTCGAACATTATTAAAATATTAGTGACTTCTTTTTAATACAATACAGTAAACAACTATTTCACAGAAAGAGCAAACCACAGAACACTATACTCACAAGAAAGGAGATACCAGTGACAAGAGCGAAAGAAAAAAAAAAGCAAGGAAATTGGAATGGAACACGCATTCACGTTATTCAATTTCGCCAACGTAGCGATAAAAAATAATATTTGTTTTGATATGACGTCATTTCCGTCTATGGACAAATCGATTTTTTTTCTTCATTCACCGCATATTTTTTAATCTGTCTGTGTTTTGTCGCTTGACGCAGCTGTGTCGTTTGCTTGTTTGATTTTCCATTATAAAAATATTTCTTATTTCTAGTTTATTTCCGTGTTTTAAAGTGTGCAACAAACAAAATTACTTCGATAAAGTTTCAGTCAAATAGATTTCTATGCAGCAAAGCCCTGAAATATCTACTAAATCAAATTTATTTCTGTGAACTACCTACTCGGTTGTATTTAAATTACATCAGTAAAACATTCGTGTATATATGGAATAAAAGTTATGAAAGAAATGAATTCTATACAGAATAACATTTCCGATCTGTTGAAGTTAGCCAGAAAATTCAACTGCTTTTATTTATCCGGTAAGTTAATAATTTTGTAGTTACGTTATGAACGCACAGTCCTCGATAAATTGTCATTGATGAGATTTTTTTATGTGTACAGGTATATGTCAAGGCACATGTAAGCCTTTCTTTGTAGCGGGCAACCAAGTTGGCTTAATTCGGCCAGATGTTATGAAACACATACAAAGATTTCCAGAGGTATGCTCTGTTTTTACTTGGTTTGTTATCACTTTCATAAAAATTGTTGAAGATACTTGGATTTTTCTTCAAAAACAATAGTTCATTGAAATTGAAATACCAATTGTATATAAGACAGGATATGTATAATATATATTGTGCATGTACTGTCTTATTGAATCATTTCCTGGATAAATAATAAATGTAACATTTTAAATAATTTTTACAGGTTTTTAATATAACTGGGACATATGTAGAGTTGAATCCAGCATTTAGAGATTATAAAGAAAGGACTTCTAAAGTTGCAGATATGTTGATGAAGCTGCGGAAGGAAGATGAAATAATAGCCTTGAAAGGCTGGAGAGATGAGGTTGGAAACATGCCTTTCATTTTAGGAATAATTTGTAGCCAAATGGTTCAAACAGTTGTTCCACTAATAATTAACTTTCCACTTAACTTTGCCATTTTGTTGTTGGACTATATGACATTCAGCCAAAGTATTTAATTCAAATCAAACTGATTGCCTGTCTAGAATTACCCATTCCAACAGATTAGAGTTTTCATTAGAACACTCTTGACACTGGAGGCTATTAGGCTACACTATTATGTTAGTGGTATTCCCTTGCTATGTGTTTGAGGCTTTTAAATTGTAGCTGTATGTTGAGTGATGGCCGTAGGTCGGAAACAGGTGCTACAAAGAGCCACATAGAGTTGTTAAATCCACCAAATATTAATTAATTACTGTATCGAATTCCAGATTTCCGGAAATGGTTTTACTGCATTGTAGGACAAAACTACTCACCTAGGAAGTCTAAGTTGGATTCGAAGTAATTCTAATGGTGCCATGTAAAAAATGTAGTAGATTAGTGACCTTTTACTAAAACAGAGAATAAAAAATTAACAATAATGGTCATTCTCCACCCCTCTCTAGCTTTTTTAGATACCACATATTGATGGTCACATTAACGGTACAGCAAAATTTGCTAGTAGACCTCAAGAAAAACAATTAAAAATTTAATTTCCGAGGGGAATTTTAGGACATTTTAGTTTGCATGAGAATGTTGTGATCGCGCCCTAAAAATATTCTATTTAAATAAAAAACACAGTATAACAGATGTTCATAAATTTGAACCACTAGTAGAAATATCGTGTTTTGAAAGGAAAATATTCACACTTGATTATTTTAATACTGTTTGTAAAAAAATGCTACTAATACTTCATGTACTTTACGGAATCATTTTGACTGTTAGCACCTCCTCTCCTAATTGTTTGTAACTTTTTGTCATACTGAAGTGATGCTTTTGATGAGTCAAGTCATATTTATATAAGTTAGTTTGGTATAGTGTGCTATGATAAAGTGGTATGTATGGTATCCTCACCTCCAAGTTGTAATACCTATTTTGCATATTGTCAGTATAGAAAATTGCTCCCGCAATTTTTACCTTTTCTAGGAAACTTACCATCTTGGTTCTTACAATTAAAGTTAACTTTTGAAGATCACGGGCATGATTCCCAATAGGACTTATGTGGGAAATTCTTGGAGGTATTCTTGGAGGCTCTAGCCTTGGAGTGAATTCTGTTGCTCTCATGCTCATAGTACAGATAATCCTCTAGTTTGAGATCAGGTAATTGATGTGGTTGTATGGCATATTATTATTATTTTTGGATTGTTACTTGGAATGTTGTCCTTTAAATTGCTTAGTGGATTTCAATCAGTGTACTGATTAAAACTCTGTATGAAAATTTGACTATTTAAATTACAATGTTTACTCATAGTTATTTGAATACAGCCATAGTATAGCATAAGCGGGTAAGTATTGATAAGGGATCTCTCTATTTTACATCTAACTAAAAGAAGTGGACATTTAGTCTTTTAAAAAAAAAGTTAATAAGTTAGATTATTTGATTCAGGATCAGGCATCAAAAAAGGAGTAATATTTATTTATTTGTTAACATGCTTTAATTACAGTGTTTTTGCAAACTTTATAGCAGTGATAAATACTTAAGGATATCTCCCTAAATATTACTGTACTAAATTATTGTAAGTGTAAAAATATGACAGTAATAAATTATATAATGTGATAATTATTTATTACTGCTATAAATTTTGCAAAAACATGTAGGTCGTTATTATTCAGGGTTATTCAATATCTATTTATACCACCAATGGTCAAAGTAGGGTGTTCCAAATGAGTAGATAATTGTCTACATATAGTAGATACAAGCAGTTACATAAGAGTGGGTAAAAGCCACCGAATAATAATTAACCACTTTTTTCGAATTCCGGATTTCGAAAAAAGTGTTTTACTGCCACCATAAGATAAAACTACTCACCCAAACAGGAAGTTGGATTTTAAAGATTACTTTAAAATCCAACTTCAGTTTCCTGTCTAGGCGCGAATAAAATTATCTAGTGGTGCCTTCTAAAAAAAAACAGATAGTGACCAACTCATAACCAGAACCGTAAGATTCTCTTAGTTTACTGTTTTTATTTTCGCTGATTGGGTTAAATGTTTGCACAGGAGTGAGTGGAGGAGGGGCAGAGTTGTGTTATCAGCTACATGTTCGAAATTCGAATCTGCCTTCACTTATATTGCTCGTGAGAGCCTACGTCAGCACTGTATCAAAATATTAACATACTGTGGCCGTAGCAAGGCAGTATATATCACAAGAAATGTGTGATAAACCTCCCTTTGACACATTTATTTCAGTTGATTAGGCTATGTTGCCATTATTGCTGAGATGGTTGTACCAGAGACTATTAAACCATCTCGAATCCAAAATGCGTACGTAAGCTATGTCTTAGACAATTAATATACACAAGACAGACAACAATTCAACTTGGGAGATTTGAGAGCGATAGGTTTCAAGTTTAACATTTCATAAAAAATGTTTGCTTATTATATCTCATATAAATGTTGTCATACCAGACAATTTCAGTGCAATTTAATATTTCGAACGCAGAATGAAAACTCCGGTGAGAAAATTTAATATGGTTTCGGTCTTTTCAGGAAAATTAGCATAGAGTAATCATTTCGACGATATCAAGTATGATTATAGAGTAATCATTTCGACGATATCAAGTATGATTTACTTACCTATGAAATGAATGAGTTTAGAATTTTTCTGTTTGTAAGACTGTCGCCTTGTTGCGGAATTTACAGAACTTATCTTTCGCTTATCCAACACGAACATTGAATGTCAAAAGGGTGTATTAGGCTTCACTCACGTGCTAGAGCACGCCGCGCTGTGTATTAGCAATGATCGGATAATCTGGAGCTTATTTACCTAAACTTCAGTTTTGCCTCCACAAATAAATAATGTGAATATGCCTTTCTGAATAGAATATATAAATAATTTAGTCAATCCCAGGTTCTGGGATTGAGTAATTTATATTATTTACGAAATAACTGTAAATTAAGTACAAAACAACATTTTAATAATTATTTACTTAGGAACACAGAACAAGATGTACACCGAATGTACCTAGAGGACAGACGCGTCGTGTGACGTGATTTGGATAGAATGGGATTTTGATCAATTAAGGGATGAACAGGGGACTGAGGTAGCGGGCATGACCACTCACATAAATACTTTTACTATAGGAGTAATAATAGTAGTAATGTAGTAAAGTAATATAATAAAACATTTTTTTTACTGAGGTTAAGTTTAGAATCAATGCGTATACCATCTTAAAAGTAAGTTTGTATGTATATTACACATCAATTTATATCAATTTTAAAAAAAGAAGTAAAGAAAAAGAAAAAAGAAGTTTCATGAAATTGTGTGTAAAAATATTATTTTGCAAAAACGGGATTAAAGTCAGACACAATACCCTTAGTTATTCAGAAAGGCATATCCATATTATTTCTTCATGGAGGGTAAAAACCAGGAAGTCCAGGTAAATAAGGGCCCGAATATTCGATCACTGGTAATAAGGCACACGACACGCCCCGCGTAGCCGGAGGACGTACCTGGTGGACAAGACGTTATTAATATTTTATCGAAATAAGCAAAAATTGCCAAATTTACTCGTAATATTCGATAGTTTATGATATGATAATATTCGATAGTAGCATGCCAAGTTGGTAAACTATTCATCACTAGTAGTAAAGGTAAAGGCTAGTTGGCCAGATGATAGTAATATACATTAATAGGTAGGTAAGTAAATTATTCATCAATAATGACGACACCACAACATTTTGTTCTGACGCACAAATGCGAAGTGAGAAAATGCAATTGTACAAAATTGAAATAAAATTTAACGTGATTTTCGTGAGCGGTTCGAGAGCGCATATTGTTGAATAATCTCCGATCTCAATATAATAGTTATTCATATTCCTATATTCGTATGCTTAAGTATGTTGTTCTTGAAATACTTATCCTTTGCACTACTATTTCAGTGTTTTGAAGTAAGCCTTCCTTTCTCCTCTGAGAGCCTTTTGGAAATGGACAGGAGTGCCTTCTGTTTATTTGGCATTAGGAACTATGGCGTCAGTGTCACTGGCTACTTATACCATCCAACCAAAGGGCTTTGCATCTGGCTCCAGCAGAGAAGTTTTACTAAACAAACTTGGCCTGGTAATTATTATTTTCTAACGGCATCGATAAAAACCACATAATCCTAGTAGATGAACCCGACTGAAATGAAGTTTCATTACATCTAGAAAATTGATACATTTTTTTAACCATATCTTCTAGAATTAGGATATTTTACAGTCTTGTAATCATAATGTTTCAGTTTTTATTATTTGCAATTAATAAAAATGTGAATTAAAGTTTGTGTTAATTTCTAGGAAGTTGGGATTGCTTTGTAAGTGGAGGTTTGGCTGTAGGCTATGGCATCCTAGAGACATGCATAAAGGAGGCTGCTGAAGAGGCTTCTGTTGAAGGAGACCTTATAAACAAACTTTTACCAGCTGGCTGTGTTAGGTAAACTATAGAAATCCTATATTGTTTATTTTATTACATACATTTATACATCTTATTACATACATCATCAAAATGACAACCTAATTATGGGATTCTTTTACAGCTTCTATTTCGAGAGCGAACGAGGTTTATTCCCTAATACAGAGTATGTGTATGATCTGGAGTTGCCATTAGATTTTGTTCCTAAAAATGCTGATGGTGAAGTGGAGACATTTGAACTGTTGACTGCTGAAGAATGTATCCAGAGGGCTCTCTCTCCTCACTTTAAAACAACGAGTGCTCCTGTTCTCCTAGACTTTCTTATAAGGAAAGGATATATTAACCCAGAAAATGGTAGGTTGAGAACATCATATACAATTTCTAATTTATTTCAACACGCAAAAAATTGTAGTGTGCTATTATATTTTTGCTGTAGGAATTAGTAACATTCTCTTATCATGGAAATAATTAATATTTTGCACTGAGGTCACTGCTGTTACAGAAAATGTGGCGGCGCGTTAAAACGAAATAATTGAAGTCTTCATTTCTTTTTTCAGAGTCTAACTATCGGAACCTAGTAGAATTGCTCCATGTACCATTGCAATCAATCTACAGCTGGCCTTTCACCATTTCCAACACTTTCAACGGTGACAACCATGGGAGTTGTGTTGATTCTAACTAGTACTTAAAGTATGTTCTTCTCTAATGTACTTCTATAATATTTTCATTTTAGACGCACGAAGTTAATCAAGATACCATGTTGAGCAATTTCTTTATATTATTTTAGTATGAACCAGTATATTATTATATGCAGCAAGTGAAAAAAAAACTTATAGCAATACAACATGGCCTAAAGGTTTATTGGCCTTATGCTTAACTACTTAGGTGAGCTTTAAGTGTTATCTAAGTATATTTTTTTTCTATTTTATTTAAATACCCAGTTATGAGATTTCTTGACCAAATCTTGATGTATGTTATGTGTAGTTATTTCAAGACACCATAGGTTAGCTAGGTATTGTTAATTTCTGTGATACTTTACCAGTTTGGTATAAGGTATTGTGTATTATTTAGTTGAAATCCCACCTCTATGAAATACTTTCAGATGTTTTAAGTATTTATTGTAATTTTTTTACTTCACTATTTTTGGTTTTATTATGTTATTGAATTTAACGTTCTGTCATAAGATATAATTATTGTGACTAAATTTTTTTAAATAAAGTGTACTCATACAAAGATAGAATACTTCTAGCGACTAGGTGCTACTTACTAACGCTAATGTTATAGTGTTAGGGTAAGTTTTATCGGTCTACAATATTCAGTACTTACATATAAGGGAACAGGAAGGCCTGTGGCTACGTACACAGAGATTAAAATGGAAACAAAATGTATTGATAATGTTGTTATAAAAATATTCAGTGGTAGACTGGATCGCATGTTTCTAATAGTCTAGTCATACAACAATCGTGTATCGAGGCTTTGCAAATCTATAAGTCTTTTGTTTACCTGTTTCTAAAAATTTTCCTTATGATGTTAAGCATCGAAAAGTAACAATTGTTGACATTGGCTAGCTTCAGTCATACAAATTAATCACGAATATGGTAATATTTATTGTAATGCTATTTTAACGTTTTGAATTTTTGTTGGCTTTTGAGATTTGATCCAAAAACGACAATGATATACAAGATATAGCTAAAAAGTAATTAATTAGATGTAGTGAATATGGTTAAATTCATAGTATACAGCGCTAGTGGTTCGTAATGTGTTACGTCGTATTGCAATTTTATACATTTCTATGAATGAACTCATGTTATTGGCGAAAGATTTTGTACCTCGAATAAATTATATTAATAGAATGAATAATCTACGTAAATTATAGTATGTAACCGTTTACAATTTGCGATATTTATAGCAATTCAATAGTGTTTTCTTAAAAATTAAAAATTTAAAGTTTGAATTCAATTATTTGTTTTATTGCGACAGAAAAATCCCGATAGCACAGTTGTAGAAAAATAAGTAGTAATCACAGACATCTAGATAAACGCTGCAAGTACAGCAATTTGTATGAAAACCAAGCGTGCCACATTTTTTGTACCCTCTATGACGTCACAAGAAGGCAGTGGGCAGGATACTTTAAAACTTGGTATTAATTATCAATTGCTTTGAACCATGTGTAAAATCATAAATATGGTTTATATAGTAACGTATACATAAATAAAACACATAAAGCATTGTTTTAATTTTTATTTGTTTTTCTCTTTAAATTCGTCAAATCAGGGGGTCTACTCTCGATCTCCGTCCGACATCCATCCGAAACAATTACTGCCAAATAAGCAATACTTGACCAAATGAAAAGACGCGTGATGCGAATGAAACTTCGTACTGGATACTTGTCTTTTAATTTTGTCGAATATTGCTTATTTGACAGTAATAACTGCCTCCGTGGCTGAACGGTTACCGTGCCGGACTGCCACGCTGAGGTCCCAGGTTCGATTCCCGGGCCGGGAGAAATAGTTGTATGGCCTACAATTATTTCTCTCGTGAGTTTGGGTGTAATTTGTGGTTGTCTATGTGTGTGTCCATGCCACCCGCGACACAGGGTTTCCCTAGTGCGGGGCTATGTTGAGTGTGTGCGTTATTTATTATTATTATTTATTAAAAAAAAAATTGTTTCGGACGGATGTCGGACAGAGATTGGGAGTAGCCCCCCAGATTCGGAACAGGCTGTTCGCCCTTGAATTTTATTGTCACCTATAGTTCTTTTCTTGATAACGATACAGTGCTACAATTAGGTCCTGGAACCAAGAGCAGTACGTTATTAAAGTTCATATAAATACGAAAACATTATTTTATTAGGTAAATATCAAAAACTATATTTCTTGCCGTAATCGCAAAAAATCCCACTTGCTAAAGTTGCCCAATAATAAAAGTATTTAATCATAAAAACAAAAGTACACGATATGCCTGGATACACAACTAAAATTTCACAAGTTTCTGAGAAATGCAATTTCACTAAAAATTACAATGTTCTTCAAAAAATATTCTTAAATTTATGATTCATCGTATGTACTCAATTTTACACATACCTGCAGCTGACGTCTCCATGTCAAAAAAGTGAAATTTGAATATATTTCAACCAGCCACAATATTTTTGAGATTAACAAAAAAGATCGAATTAACGAGTAATAGTCGTGCTCTCTGAGACGGGGGATGTTATCGGCCACGGGACGTACGGTGTCTGACGGGTGGACATGTTGGTAAAATAACTGACAATATAACGGTAATTATGGCGTTTGGAGTTTTGAATTAATACCAGCCTTTAAAGTATTCTGCCCCGGCGGACCGACTAAATCTAGTTTTTTACGATTAGAACTGACTTAATGTTGACTTTATCTGGTTAGTCAAATTTCAAAAACTCTACGATGGTCACGCTGGAAAAAGGCACGCATTTGAATAAGCTCTTGCTGTTTTGCTAAATATGATTAATTTTGTGTGTTATGATTAATATTAGGTGTCTATTTTTTAGTCACTTATTTTCAGTTCGTTGAAATTTCATTAGTCGGAACTTTACTATTTTACTATTTCCCAAAAAATAAGTCTCACATAATTTGGTACAGTTTTATTTCAAATAATGTTGATTTATTGACAAAATTGTTACGAAAATGGACATATCACATTTTACAATACCGTATAAACATAATGTTAGTGGTGAGAATAATAACAATCCAACATCAAATTAATGCCGCCTGTTTATTTGATACAGGAAATTAAGCGACACTATCGAAGCTTTTCTACAAAATGATATAAGCTAATTTCGTTTTAATCATTATAGTCTTATTGCAGGTGAGCGTCATGATTACATCAAGACCTACATATACAGCAGCACCCATTCCAAAAAGAATAAAAACAAAAGAAAACTTAACCAGAACTATAGTATTTCCGAAATTGATACACACGAAAACATTACAAAAATAATTCTGCAGTTCACCATTACAATGCGCCAGCGCAACTTCGAAAACAATATGAATTTGTAATCGCAGATACGCACGTTAGGAGTCTAATCACTGAATCATATGAAAGGTTCTATAGTATTCATTATAGTGCTATCGTGTTCCTACTTTACCTTACCGGTAAGGCGAGGCGTCGCATCGGCACTCGATTTGGTGGAACTACAGACGAAATGAAACATTTTTGAAACGAGGGGGCGATCTGCAGAATGGCTAGTAGTCATCTCCGCGAGATATGACCTCCTTGCAAGTGGGTCTGAGCAGGATGGTGTGCTCAAACTGCGCTGTGTAGCAGCCCTTGATGTCGCAGAGAGGAGGGTAGGCGTCGACTACGCCTTTGTCGCACAGGTCCTTCAGCGCCATGGCGTAGCGAGTCGCGCCCGCGCGCTCCAGCCACCGCTTGCAGAATGCCAGGGTCCCGAAGTTTTTGTTGATCAGGTTCAGTAGCTGCTTCGACGACTGCAGTCTAAAATAAGAAGTGGTTTTGTGAGGGACATCCATAGGGAACAACAGTGAACAATATAATCGTCGAACTTATTATGTTTTGCATTTCGGGTCTGATCTGGACACATGCCTCTAAACAGCTTCTCATACTTAATGAGAAAGGTCCAATTCCCCAAATGTGACATAGTGGAGGATGTATAACCATATCTTGTACGGAACAGAGCCGAAAGAAGGGATGTTTCTTATACTTTGGATTGCAATTTGGCAGATTTGGGTGTATGTAACATTTTCTTATCTTCCCCAAGATCAAAGGAAACAAAATTGTTGTATAGATTAGTTGATGTGGGAATTAAGCGAAGACCGTAGATGATGTTTAAGGAGCCTGTCATTTCCTAATCAAGAAAAAACCCTCCTTAAATAAAAATTTAAAAAAAAAACCTAAGTTTTATGTTAATTTCGTGCCAGTTACCTTAATGGCACGAATTGTTGTTCAAAGTTCTTCATGTAGTGAGAGCAGTCCATATCGTCGTGAACTTGACCGCGGCCAGTCGAACCGAAAGTCTCGATCGCATAGAACTCGTTCTCCTCCATACGTGTTGTTTCACCTCCCTTCACGATCGGGACAGTTTTTCCTGCATGGATACCTAGAAGCAAACGGTAACAGTGTCTAGTTAACGCTGAAATCTTATTAACACTTTGTTTGCCTTTACAAGTATGAGTTGATCATAAACTTACGATAAGGTCCAATGGAGTGGCCGTTAAGATTGCGGATCGGTTTCACTTGGTATACCTGGCCATCTAGCTCCACTTCGTGTGATTCCATTACCTGGCGAACACGAAACATATGTAAAATAACAAACTTGAGTTTATTACTTGTAAGTCTTGCATTTTACTTACATAGAAAGATGGAATTCCAACAAGAAAGAAATATCACACCAAAGATAAGATTGGATGTTCAATAGGCTAACTTGAGGGGAAATAGATAAATCTTGCGCACGTCGAGATACCTTTCTATTATATACCGTCTTGGCGCAACTCAAGGCTTGAGATGGCAGAAAAGAGATTCTCTACCGTGGAGATAAAGTAATTGTCATTATTAAATTTGATTTTGAAATTTTCATTGCGGTAACACCAAATCAGTAATGGTATAGTGGACCGCGCTCACTCATTTTCGCCGTTACGTTTTTTGTACAATTCTTAATGTTTGTAATCTCAGTACAGAGTACTAAAAAACCGACCTTAAAAGTCATTCATCCCCTGGTTTGCCACCCTCAGAGGTGGAATATTTATTTCAAATTGAAATGGTACCGCTCCTGTGGTACCCTCTTTCTAACAAAAAAAAAGAATCTTCAAAATCGGTTCACAACAGCCTGTTACACCTATGAGATTCCTATATAGCTAGCTGTCTTTATTACGATACGAAATTGTACGTACATGATGTTTTTATAACATTTTTTGTGGCTATAAGGTTGAAGACAGTAAATTTTAATACCACCCACCAACAAGGTCACGATAAAATTCGATAGAATAATATTATGATGGCTGCTTATATGTATATGTAGCTCGCTAATGGAAGTAGGCGTGAGACATATTTTTTTTAACCCAATACCGTTTTTGAAAGAACGCTCACGATAAATATCCTGCGTACTGTTGAAAATGTTAGATATTTCGAATATCTACTACGAATATCTGGCAAAAGTATACAAAATGTGACCATTATGCTATGGACTTAGAGAAATAAGACTAATCTCTAATTAGCACTGCGCGCAAACTTTACATCGCCCAGCTGAATGCACCACCGTGCCATTATGAAGATCAAAATTTGTAATATAATTTAATGACAACAGTATATCGTCGGGGATAGTGTAAATCCGCGTATGTAGTATTGGTAGAATAAATTTCACACGAGAGGGATTCAACATTATTGCTTTGTAATTTCTATAGCTACGACTTTCATTTTTGCACAGTAAGCATTATATTATCACTCGTATATCACGCTAATTTGGTTGGCATGACATTTACATTTGTTTTGGCCATTAAATTACCGAAATGGAAACTTATAATCAAATGCTAGTGACGCGTAATTGCACTATCCCCGACGATATTATTATGAATTAATTGTTAATGTTATAATTATTGTGTATTTAATTTTATAATTTTCATTCTTGCTTGATCACTATAATTTCTTGTACTCTGACATGTAGTGCAATATTTACTGTAACATTATATTTCAGAATTGATAATTTGGAGATTTGTCTTTGTCTTCGAGTTCATGTTAAGTATGCAGGTGGTTAATGGAGATTTTTAATAATTATTTGTACTTTTTTACCTCCTGCACAGCTGTGCCAACGTCGCACAACCTGACGTCCACTCCGGAAGCCCTGATGCCGGCTTCGGTAGCCTCTTGCACGCCCTTCACGAGTGAATCGTAGCGCGGGTTGAAATGTAACGTGAACGCGCAGTCGATGATACGACCGTTGATGTGCGTCCCAAAGTCTATCTTCACGACATCGTCGTATTCAAGAACGGTTGTATCACCTGGGGATGTTTGTACATATTTCGTTTTAAATTATATTTTATTTTTATTGAATGTCATGATGTTTGTACTACCATGACACATAAACACAAAGAAAAATTCCTTTGATCTGACTGGACACGAACTAGTGACTGTTGCCTCAACGTCCCTACCGCTATGCCAACTGAGCCAACGATCGAGCAAGCAGATCTTACGAATTCCTCTACGTGCTTGATCCGGATCTTTGTATTGGGTTTAAAAGGGTTGTCGCCGTAGCGCCACCTGTTTCTTCACTCAACACAACTACTATTGTAAGAAATATTGCTATGTACATACACATAAAATATTAAAGATTACAAAGCTTTTTAAAAAATTGGCCAGTGTATGATAAGATTCATGGCAAATTTGTGGTAATTACTCAGTAGATTACTTTTGTGGTTATATATGTCGCATATTTACCAGTGTTTGGGGTGTAATGGGCGGCGCAGTGGTTGCGGCTGCACCCAGTGGGGAAAGCAAGGCCCGCCTTGAGCCCGTCTTCTCCGATGAGGCGCCTGGCCGTAGATTCCAGCTCCTCGCAGATTTGGATCATCGTCATACCAGGTTTTATATAGTCACGGATGTATTTCCGAGTCTACACAATAAACATATTTGGCTAAGTAACAGGACTTTTAAAAATAAATATTAGTTTAAAAATAAGAATTTGTTTCTAATATTTTTTTTGATGTAATTTGAGTGATAATGAGATTATTTCAATTCGATTTAAAAAAAAGACTTGACCAGCCCGTAGTATTTTTAATAAATGCTCCTTATCGACACTGGACCCCTGTAGGGCTGGCACGATTAAAAGAAAGTGCGAGACACTACTATTCTCACATAGGGATCTCGAGCTTTATGTCGCTAACGCGCACGTCATGCCTTATCATGCTAGCCCTACTAATGTTGAGCTTCTACCTACCAATTTGGCTATTCCTATAACCGACTGTCCCTAGGTCATCCTCTGTACATACCTGCCTATGAGCTTCAGCTGCATGCCTAACTTCTTGATAGATGTCATTCTGCATTCTGTCCAATGCCCGTTTTTCTTCACTGGAGAAGCGATCTTTCGCTGTCCTTTCATCAATTCCTTCAGCTTTGCCATGTTCCATAATTTGACCCTCAGGGTAGTTACCTGATGCATGGTATGTAATCTAATTATTTGAATAATATGCTGTGAGCTGTTGAATTGGCGTTGAGCAAAAAAAATGCCGAAGGAATTGAATTTACTTGTAAAAGCGATTTGTTTTCTTACTCAGACTGGCAAACGGTCAGATGTACGGACAATGGCACATCAGACTACACATTCTTGTTCGAAAATCGCCTCCAGTGCAACGGAACAAGATACGTCAATGTGTAGCTTGATGTGTTGGCGTGTGCTAATGGAAATTGCAAATATTTGCAATTAGAAATTTCACGTCTATGGATCCAAATCCGCCAGTTGACATATTAGAGATAATATTTATATTATGATAATATTTATTTATAAGAAAAAAAAAACCAGAAGAAAGTAATATACAACAGTAATAGTATAGTAGTAGAACCAATTTAATAAAGTTTTTGTATAGTATTTACAATAAATTTTAATTAAGTAATGAAATATTGAAAATGGGTTGCCAGCTCTACCCTCCCAGTCATAAGTAATGTTTGCATTTTGGTAACTTTCGAGAATAGCGGGATTTACAGACACTCTATCGCGCGTGATACGGCAATCGTGTGCGATTGGGTGCGCGTGTAAAGATGTTGGAAGGAAAAGGGAAAGATAGCGCGATTGCGCTCAACAGCCGCGCATGCAATCTATCCTGAGCTATTAGCCTTTACATGAACCTATTTCCGTTGTAAGTAAAACGAACACAAGCAATCGCGCGATAAAATAAAAACTTTCAAACAGGTAGTCGCGCACGATTGCGCGTGCAGGCTTTCCCGCGCGCAATCCTATACGCTGCTGATCACGCGCGATAGAGTGACTGTGTAAAGTGGGCTATTGCTACCTAGTTTTTTTTTTATTTGAAAAACATCAATTATGCTGATCTTGCTTAACAATAGAACTGAAACTAAATAACATATAAAATCGATTAGAGGGGGTTACAGATCTCGTTTTGCTGATTCCACCTACGTTAATAACTAAATTTTGCTAAAAATGTCGATTATGTTAGTTACGATGAGGAGGGCAGAGTCGTACTTCAGATGTAAATCACTCTACTTGATGGTGGAATTTACACTAACAATACTAGTTTTAAATAATGCGCTAAAAATCATAGCAATTACCTGGTATTTAACTAGCGTATTCCTTATACTATGAGTGCCAGAGTAACAAACTATATTGGTTTGGCAGAAAATTGCAAATGGAACATCTTTATCTAGCTCCCAGACAACTATTTGCAATAAGTGAGAAAACTTGTTAAAATAAACACAGCTTCTAGGAAGTATTGTCGAATTATAATTAATATAATGTGGCAGTCAACCACACCAATTGTCTGGTCTTAAACTAGGGAATTCCTTGTACCATTTCTAGGATAGCCAATGAATGTGCGCGCTAAGGAAGCTTTAACCAGTACGTCAAGCAAATCCATATTAAACAAATTTATGGATCATTCATCATATGGACAATTCAGGGATATAAAGTTGTAACTGAACTCACCCATACTCAATTTCAGAACTTGAAACTATGAAAAAGGGACTTGCCATTTTAGTCTGAACTGCAGACAGGGTTTCAAGTTATACAGTTAACACGTTGCTGGAGTCATGGATTGTGCCATGACTCCAGCTGGAGTTGCAAATTGGCTTCAACTATAAGTCCATGCATACTTATGGAGTTGAACGACATACTACTTCAAAGTCAAATATTTTGATTAGACTTGTAGAGCAATACCCTGATTTATTAAACTAGTGAATTGGGTAATCTTTTGTAAGTGTAATTTTTTTTAAATAACAAAATAACTTGGATATAATCATGTATAATGTGAGAGTAAAAGACAAAACTTATTTCATAAAAAATTCCAGTGGACTTACAGGGTTGATTTCAGCTTTTATGTGAGGGACTGTGAATGTGTTTAGAGTCAGTTCTAGTTCAATAATGAAATGATTGAAAATTATCATACCATCAGGGAACAGTTCTGCAATTGGTATGGTAGGTGGGTTGCTCTGCTGTTTAGAAGGGCCTTTGCCCTTGCTCTTGTTTTTCTTCTTTTTCTTTTTCTTCTCTTCTCCTTCCGTGGTATCATCTTCAACTGAGATGGCCTGGACTTGGTCCGTTGTACTTATAATTTCAGGTTCTCCACCAGCAAGGTTGATAGGTTCTGCTCCTGTCACATAATAATAATCTTTAATTTTCATAGGGGAGAAGAAGGCACCTTTGAACAGGGGCAGCATAGAACAAATGCGTTAAAAAATATATATAATGCAAAGAATTAACAGTGCGCTGTCTTTACAAAAACCTGGAGTTGGTTGTACATATGAGATCGTTGCTTTCGAGGATGAAGGTGGTCTAGTTTATCCCACCTAAGATGCTATCCAAATGTGCAGAGTAACAGAGTCAGAAATCCGAGAAATAATAAACAAATCACAAAAATTTCACATGAGGTGTCATTAAGTAAACCTCTTCTGATTAATAAGATTTTACCATATTTTGTCAGCATTAACATTTTCATTTGCCTTGCCATTCATCAATTTGATCAATTACCAACAGAAAACCATCTAGTAAAACTAATTAAGGCAGTCGCAAGTTCATATATTGACATGCATTTTCATTATTTAAGTTAATCGAATCGAAGATCTTATGATCTTCTATCACAAAAAGATGTTATATAATAAGCTTATTTTATTGGAAGGACAATAATTTTATTATTTGAAGTCAATTAAAAATTAGTCTCAATGTTTTTAAGGAATCAACATTTTTTAAAAATTATTAAAATAAAGGACTTAACTATCTTATTCAACTATTTTTCTACTATATTAATATTATGTCTACTTGTAATCAACAAATGCTTGAACAAAAATGATTCTATTTAGAATCGAATAATTGAATGGAATACACATGTTTACGCGTATTCCATTCAATCAATAGATTTAGAGCGAGCAGAAAGAGGTTTCCGTCATTAAATAGTTCTTGTGACATCATAGTGGGTACAAAAAATGTGGCATGCTTGGTTTTCATACAAATTGCTGTACTTGCGGTGTCTATCTAGATATGTCTGTGGATTTAACTAATCAGATTGAAGCACTATATGTATATATTGCAAAAGATTTTTGATAATGGATTTAATAAAAATATTTTACAATAAATAAGTAATTTTCATTTAAATTGATGACTTCAAAGATGGGCATCTTGTGGGTTTGAACATTTGAGTATCTTCACAAAAATGGGAATTCTGCAAGTATTATGAACTTTTTGATTGTGCTTATTATGAATGATTAAAGCCAAATAATAGATCTAACTACTGCAGCAAACAAAACAAGTAAATAATAATGATTTCAGATTTTACAATCAGATATGTAAAAAATGTTCTAAGGTGCCCTCTTCTTCCTTATTTTGTTATATAATAATTCCCAGATTGATTGCCAATCAATAATAAAGTTGAACATTATTTTTTAATTTAATCGATGTACAGCCTTGGCCAAAAGTATTAGGCACCCCTTAAATTTGCAAAATACAAATTTACTAATTTAACCATTCATTAATGCTTATCTTAGATGGTATGCTGGGGTCGTATTTCTTTACCTGGCATAGTAGGCGGCATATTTTTAAGGTCATAAAACACCTAGTGATCGAAAATAAAGGACTTGTGCTTCTTGCGGTCTTATCACTAAATATTTTGTCACTTGTGATAGGGACTCTAAAGCGTCAACAAGTTTTTATTATTGATTTAAAAATTAAATTGAGGTCTGATTGGTTTTAAAATGCCGAAGAACAGTGACATTAGTTTGGAAAATCGAGTGAAAATACAAATTTTACATGAACAAGGAAAGTCGCAAAAAGAAATTGCCAAGTTAGTGAAATGTTCACGTTGCGCCGTGCAATCTGCTATTAAACGGTTTGCTCAGACTGGCACTCACGCTAATAAACAAAGAACAGGCAGAAAAAGGGTAACAACAAAACGCGAGGATAGAAAATTAATACGCGAATCGATGAAAGATCGGAAGAAAACTTCATCAGAGCTTGCTGCTGCCTTGTCCGAAGAGACTGGAAAAGCAATTAGTGCTCGCACAGCAAGGAGAAGACTTGGGGAAGCTGGTCTAAAAGGATGCAAAGCCAGGAAGAAGCCTTGGCTCTCAGAAGCCAACAAAAGGAAACGTTTAGAGTGGGCTCTACGGCACCAACATTTTACGGAGGAAGATTGGTCTAATGTTGTGTGGTCTGACGAATCTAATTTTGAGGTAAGTTTATTTTACTGGGTTCTTTACCAGTAAGTATGATCACTTATTTATTTTACTTAAATGGAAAAAGTTATGGCCTTTCAAAAAAAAATAACTTTTTCGTTTCTTCTCTAGGTGTTTGGAACACCAGGTGTGACATTCGTCAGACGTCGTGTGGGTGAAGAATACCATCCAGATTGCGTCGTACCAACTGTCAAGCACGGAGGAGGCAGCATAATGATCTGGGGCTGTATGGCTGCTGATGGGGTTGGCGAAATGTTTGTATGAACAGCGAAAAGTACGTAGAAGTACTTGAATCTGCGCTTATGCCTTCGCTAACAAGCATTTTTGGCGGCACTAACTTAGATGGAGTCATATTCCAACAAGACAATGCGCCTTGTCATAAGTCAGCGACTACGATGCGTTGGCTTAGGGACAACAACATTGAGTTGTTGGATTGGCCGGCCCAGTCCCCAGATTTGAATCCTATCGAGCATCTCTGGGGCATTTTAAAGCGTAGGATTAAAGAGCATATTGGCATTACTTCTAAAACGGCCCTAAAAAATGCTTTGATAAATGAATGGCAAGCTATTACGAGAGAGGATTGCTCTAAGCTTGTGCGCAGCATGCCAGACCGAATAAGCGCTGTGATTAAATCTAAGGGTGGACCTACTAGATTTTAAGTTATTTGTATTTGTTTTTATGTGTTTTAATTATAATAAATAAATCAAGAAACAGGAAGTTGTTTTTTTCCATTTTTTAAAGTAAGTTTTAGGGTGCCTAATACTTTTGGCCAAGGCTGTAGTTGTATTTATGTATAAGACAATTAATCTAAGATCCATTGTAAGACTGATAGCAAAGTTAAAAAAATGTTTCTTTCATGTTTTCAACTGTCTTTGAAAATATGAAGAATATTGCACGTAAACAAGCTACAAAGTTATAAATAGCATTATATGCGAAGTGGTGTATGTATTGCAAATTAAATAAAGCTTTGGGGCGGTTAACCTTACAATGGTATAATTTGATAAGAATTTGTGACAATTTTGCTCTGTTGAAGCAAATTTTAAGTGCATGCTAAAGTATAAGTTGGTAAATATTGCATATTGGGAAAAAATCGTAACAGCTGAAAAATTCTACAAATACCAATACTAACCTGTCTTCTTCTTCTTTTTTTTCTTTTTCTTCTTTTTGGCGGGATCCTTATTCTCGCCATCGTCCAAGCCTTCTACCTCTTCCTCCTCACCATTTTCTAACAAATCATCTTGAGATATTTCCTCTAGATTTTTAGTTGAAGCCATTTTGTTAAAATTTTACAAAAATAAAAATTCGTAAACCCCTATTTCCATGCGCCTTCTAAATCTCAACTCCATGCGTTCTAATACTTCTGAATATGGATTCAAAAGGGATGACAAATTTGTATCTAAGTAAACAAAAATAAATAAATAGGAGCTCTATTTGTTACGAAGATCCTGTAGGGTTTAATCTATATTATGTTAATTGTGTCTTTTAAGTTTAAATCAAATAACGAAATGATAAATCATACCAATAATAAATAAATAAAAATACTTCTCAAGGGTATATGAACGCACTACCAGCCTCGGCGCGTTCCATTACATTTTTACAAATGTCAAAATGTTTTAATATCTTGCTCTAGCCAATGAAAAACAAGGCTGTATCTCTAGGATGGAAAAAAACTGTATCTATTTTCTTCGCACTCTTACCAAATGTCCCTTGACCAGTAATGTAGAGCGAATTAATCGCACTTCCGTTTGCCGTTGATTAAAGTTCATAGCGGGAAATGACAGTGTTTTCAATTCTGTTGATGCGTGCGCTATCTTTAAAACATAGTAGACAACTTGAGAGAAATAGCTGATGTTCTTAGAGGATGGAAAAGTCTAAGCTGATGTAGCATGTTTTATAGTGGAAGGTGAACAATAGCCGACACTATTTAGAAAAAAAAACTGACCTGAAAGTTTGCTTAGCAGCTTTCGCTGTTTTATTTTCATTGGAAATACATCCATGTAGCAAGGTTTATTGAAGTGGGTGAAATTCAACAAACCGGCTTCATCCCCTAATTTGCCACACTTAGAAGTGGAATATTATCTTCGAATTTGAATAGGAGAACTACTGAGGTACTATTAACAAACTAAGAGGGGTTACACTTTAAGGGTTCTTTTTCCGAACAGGCAACGGCGCGGGGCGGTCAGTAGCGATCAGTTTGCTTGTTTTTGTCAATCAATAGCGTTTATGGGCAAGACCATACTTTTGGATGGTGAAATTTGAAGTTATTCCAAAATGTGTGAATACATTTAAAGTATTTATATTATTATATAAATACTTATTATTATATTATAATATAAATATTATAGTAACATAATATATTGCATTTTATTTCTAGCCACATAATGATAGGAAACATTTTTGGAATTTGAGACACATGTAGTAATTACCTATTAGCTTATTTGTATCTGAATCACGGAGAATTGTTGAGAAATAATTTATAATGCAGTATGATATATCAGTACGATATATTTTTACAATAAGATTCCGGAGAATAAATGAAGAATATCATTTCCTAAGTTTAAAACTTAGATTAAAAGTATTTTAATTGAAAAGTCATATTACAAAATTAAAGAGTATGTTTTAGATAAAGAAGTATGGAAAGACAACAAGAGTCTAGATTCCACACAATTATGATACAAACTGTATTCCATAGCATTTAAGTTTATTTGAAAAGAGCAATCCCTCGAGTTTCTTGCTCGTTCTTTCAGGGAGGTCAGCGTAGTGAACGAGCAGTATCTTAAAAAATGACGTGTTCAAGTGTAAACATTTTACCTATGGAATAAATGATTATTTTAATTTGACTTTGATTTTGTATTTGATGACCCCCTTTCCAACAAAAAAAAGAATCATCGAAATCGGTTCACAAAATATGACTAAATACCTGATCGTGTAATATAAACACGAAAAGTACAGACGAATCGAATACCTCCTCCTTTTTAGTCGGTTGAAAATAGTATGTATATACCTGTAACCGTAGATGATATACGAGTGCAGCAGCTTGAACCAGTGTTGCAAGGGCTTTGAAGTGGAAAGTTACATTTTCTTACCTGAAAAGGTACATTTTCGCTACAACTTTACAACTTTTTTGTGAAATTGCTCCACTAGTTTGTTAATAATATTGTCAGAAGGTTCTTGCAGATGGAAGATGACGAAGTAAGCATTCGTCATCAACCCTCCACATAGACATGATGCGTTTGCTTGATTTCGGTCCGCAAGCGTTGTTTAAACAGCTAACAAGCTGAGAAAAATAAAGAATGTAATAATAATTCTAATAATAATGCACACACTCAAAGCCCTAGGGAAGCCCGCACTAGGAAAACACTGTATCGCCGCGGGTGCCATGGACACACACATAGACAACCACAAATTACACCTAAACCCACGACAAAAACAAATGTAGGCCATATGTTCGGTCACGGAGGCAGTTAAACTTTAAATTTTAACTTTAACCCGTAACAGTTAGATTTAATTTTGCTTGCGTTATCTCTGAGTTACTTTATTGTCTAATTTGAGTGCGGTCGTAAACTGTTTAGAATTGGTAACAACGGCTACACCTAGTCGAATTGAAGGGTCGTATTCCAAAACTCTACTCAATGCTCAAGTCAGGACTTGAGTATGATTTCAACCACTGGAAATACGACGCTAATAGCTAAGACTTGAGTATGATTTCTAGTGCTTTAAATCATACTCAAGTCCTGACTTGAGCATTGAGTGGAGCTCTGGAATACGACCCGTAGAAATCTCAACGTTGTCAAAATTATAAAAAATTGCCTTAAACATAAAAGTTACTTAAGTACATGTAACACGAGAGATTCAAGTGAAAAATAGCTAACTATATATTTTTCTAATGATATCAAATGACAGGACGAACAAGTCGTGCGTCTGATGGTAAGCTGTCCATTGCAGCTGCAGTGCAACTCAGAGCTTTAAATTGCAAAGATCTGAAGGGCACTACCATTGTGCCCGTCACCTTGAGACATAAGTTGACAAGTCCCATGTGCCTGTAATTTCACCAGCACACTTACCCTTCAACACCAAAACACAGTAATGTTGACATTACTGCTTGACGGTAGAAATACGTAAGGTGGCAGTACTTCTCTGGACGAACTCTATTATAAGGAGCTCTACAATGTATTATTTTATAACAACATAATTTTATTTGGTAAAGAAACATATTCATTCAAATATCATCAGACATTTTAAATACAAGACCAATTTTTTTAAGTAGCCAATGGGCAATTCAGTCGATCTATTAATAAATAATTTAAATTACAAACATTCGTCTAATGTTTTGTAATTTAGTGGGAAACTGGGATACAAAGTATCATGCAGAGGTTTTTTAGGCGTCTGGTGTTGTTTTCCTAATGACACGTTCAGAAATAATTAATGATCGGGCAGATTAAAATGGTTGGACGGTTGACTCATGAGTTGCTCTTTTAATAAATGCTAGCTTGCTTTAAAGTTCAGCGTGCCGTGTTTTACGACTAGTTTAAGTCGCAATAAACTTCCACACGGCGGCATTTCAACGAACGGACGCGTTAATACTTCCATCGTCGTCGAAGCACAGGAACTTCTTGGATAACGCCTAAGCTCATTATAATTTATAACTCGACCATGTTTTAATATTCCGTTATTCTGCTAACGAAGCTTAGTTTTTTTCCTATTTAATGTTGGTACATAACAATAGAAACAGCATACAACAATACAACAGCAATACTGTTGTGAAAAGATTACCATTGAGCGTGTGAGAGCTCCAGCTATGGCAGGCGTTCGTTTCGTGCGGCTGATAGATCAAGTAACATAAAGCTACAATTATTAGCTAGCTGGGGTTAACATTTATTTAAACATTATTTTACTTATATATCGACTGTGAACTGGTAACCGGTGCTATTTCAATTTCGACAACTTACAGGTGAAAAAAAAATCATTTATATGGCATCTGGTTTATTAAATAAAAATACGTAGCGTACATACATACATGTGTAATATATTTTTTTGAAAAGTACTAAGTATTTTTAGTTAATAAGCCAGATGCTACGTAAATTACGCAAACAATTATTTTCTTCATCCTGTAAAGTTGTCAAAATTAAGATAGTGCCGATGGCCAGTTCACAGTCATATGTAGCACGAGTCTTTTTAATAACAAACGGAGGCATAAACCATTCAAATGTAGGTTTCTAGGTTTTTTTACAATGTTTGCAAACGATTGAGGTAGAGTTCTGTATTTCATGGGATAGTAGTAACAGCACGAGCCGAGCGGGTGAAGCGAGCGTACCGCGGAATCCAGCTAGTGCCAGAAGCCACCATGCAAGAGTGCTTGCGTTTCCGAACATGATTTCAGGTCAAATTATATATTAATTAATATAATATTAGTATACAAATATAATCAACATTTACTTAGTTTTACAAACAAGTATCTAAATTTTAGTTTTAATGCTCATTAGTCTTATTTTTGAGGCTCAACCAAACAAACAAAAATAAAAGTTGAGTAGCTCATAACAGGTAAGGGTCGTATTCTAGAAAGAGTTCTAGTTGAGTTGAGTAGAGACTCAATGCTCAAGTCAGGATTGCAATTGAATCACAAGCACTGGAAATACGACCCTAATGGCAGGGACTTGAGTATGATATCAAGTGCTTTAAACCATACTCAAATCCTAACTTGAGCATTGAGTAGAGTTCTAGAATACGACCCTAAAACATCGATTGATTAAATTTATTTTATGCTTCAGAGAAAAATGATCAATCGTTAAAAAAGATGACCGTTTAGACTTTTATGCCTGTTGCTTTCGCAAATTTAAAAGGATCATTTAAATACATGCCGTATTTCATCATGTATATATCATCATGTCACCCACTATATGTATACAAACCACGTGAAAAGTAGCTGCTAACATGCATATTGTATTTTTCTGCGATAATTAAGTTTAACGAAAATTACAAATATATCTTTTTATTAATTTATCTACAAGAAAATCCTCAAAAATAGAAGTATAACAAGGACACAAGCAAAACTTAAGTAAGTTATTAGACAAAACCTAAAAAGATCTAAACTCGTTTTGTATGCAATTAGTACAAGCCGGGGCAAGAACTTGTTTCTGAAAAACTTAGAGGGAACTCTCAAAGACATTTGTGATGACAATTCCGGACAGTCAATCGAGTCTGGTACCATTTTTCATTAAAAATATTAGGTCACTAATATCACAACGCATTTCAAGTTGTAAGAGATGATGTTTCTTAAGGAATTTATAAT